CACACACACACACACACACACACACACACACATACACACACACACACACACACACACACACACACACAGCAAAGAGGAAGGTGCCCTAAGGCTCTCAGGGCGGACTCAGCCTCGCATTTACAACGGCTCTGTCTGGAAAGAATGGGGGGCGCGCGTGCGGGGGTGGGATGGACTTCTTCAAATTTATCCCGCTAGTCGCCCAATCAAGGGGGGGTGGAAAAGTTTTCCCCCCCGCCCTTGAAACATTATTTTACAGATTCCTTTTTTCTTTTCCTTTTTTTTTTTTTTTTTTTTTTTTTTTTTTTTTTTTAAGGAACTGTATTTGGTTCTGCATAAAATTCTTCAGGCTTTGTCACTGAAAGATTCACTCTCTCACCCCATCACCTTGAGTCTGGAGGTTACAGACTCTCACACATTCACTTAAAATAGCCCAATGGAATTTTTTTTTTAATTAAAAGAGCATATGGCAAGATCAGTAGGTGGATGGAATGAACGCCCAATTTTGGAGGGTCTGGTAGAGTTTAACACTTGAAAACTCAACCTAAACGAAAATTACAGGTCCTTGGTCAAGAAAGAGGGAAAATAAGATTAGGTCACTCCTGAGGGTTGACTTAACTGCTATGTGATAGTCCTACAGTGCACACAGCGATCTTAACTTCTGAAATTCACCACCCCCATCCCCCCAGAACACAGGTAGCTGACACAGGTACCCTGAAGCAATCCCAGGGTGCAGTTTGAGCTCACTACAGCAGCTTTCATTAAGCGATATACTTTCATTACTTTACAAATCACACATCTTGCTTCAAAGAGACACATAAAGAGGAAAAACAGAAAAGGACGGCCTCCACACAAAAGGTACTCAGTGAGAACAGTTCTTCCTCTGACTGTAAGCCACTCGGATAAAAGTTCATGGGGAGGTTGTTAATGATTTAAAACTCCAAAATCTGCTACTATAATTGAAGTAAAAAATTGGTCTGAAGAAGAGTTATTTCATAAAACTCTTTGTAAGGGGAAACTTTGAACTTGGTGGAATACATTATATGTCATGAGTCAGAGCTGAAAAATAAAAAGGTGCATTATTTAAACTACATCTTCCCTTCTGAGCTTAAAAGAACTCTTGACTCATCAACTTATTAGGTTAAATATTTTCCTACCAATTGTTAAATAAATGTTTTCATCAAAGAGGGCGGAGTCACAGTGAAGAAACAACATTAAAACGTCATTCTATAAGTGGACATGAGTAACTAATGGGACTTAGAAGTCTCCAGTGGTGTTAAAGAGAGCCATGGTGGTTAAGTGTAGGTACAACCCCTTTAACAGTGGCAATAGCTTTATATTGTTTTCATTAGGAAACTGTGAAGGGGACTGTGTCTCCCAAAAGATGGCTTTCATTAATAATGAACTGTCAGTATGAACCCCTCCTTGTTGATGTCTACCAACATATCAAGCACCCTAATGTTAAGTGATATTATCTAAAGCAAGTTTAAATGCTTGCTAGAATAAATACAGTGTAAAACAATTAAGTTTATACTGGAGCATCAACCTTAAACTAATTCAAAGAAAAAAAATGTTTAAATGGTAGTTAAAATCAGACATGGCCACCAACAGCTTTGATCCCAGCAATAGGGAGGCAGAGGCAGGCAGATATCTATGCGTTTGAGGCCAGCTTGGTCTACACAGCAAGCTCCAGGACAGCCAGGGCTACACAGTGAGGCTCTGTCTCAAAATAAGAAAAACAAACAAAAAGAGGCAGCTAAACTTCCCTGTGTTGTGATTTGAAATAGACTATCTTTCAATTCAGATCAAATCCAGTTGGCCATGACTTGGACTATGCATCAGGTTTGAAGTTCACATATGAATAAACTCAAGTTCATCCATTCTGTGCAGTGCACTCCCAACAAGCGGTAAACACAATAGTATGACACCCAACCACGCCTCCCTCAGAACATTTACCTAGGATATTAGCATCACAACTGCAAATGGGCAGGGCACCACCTTTTCCTGCAACTGCAATGACTCCTCACAGTACATACTACAGTGTAATTGAAAACACATTTTAGGGACTTCCTCCAAGCTGAGTGCATTTCCTGCGACCTTTTAAAGGCATTCAGGCAAATGCTTTTGACTTTTAATTATATAGGTGTTTCATCAACAGCCAAAAGCATTTTAAATGGAATTTATTCATACCTCTACCTTTTCCCAAAAATTATTTGAAGTGATACATAACAATAGGAAATAGAAATAAACAGGGTGTTCTGTTTAAATCTCAGGTTGATATCTGAACAATAGGCAACACTCTTCAAGTTCTTTTGTATCTACCCTTAATTGCTATGTATTCAAACAAATTTTAATGTTGGGCCAATCTAAAATATTAGGAAGACAGATATTGGAGATTACCACAACAAAATTCAAAATCCAAATTTAATATGTTTGGGTACACATACCCATGAACCATCAGTTTGGATTCTTATTCACCATAGCATGAGACTCAAATATTGTTTTGTTTCACAATGCTTTTAAGACCATCTATTTCTTAGTCCTCTTTTTACCCCATCTCCACCATCCATCAACTGGAAGATTTATTTGGATTCTTTTTGTAAATTGTGCATTCTAAGACATTTCATAAATGCTAGTTCACAGGTGTAACCCTGCTTAAGCCCAAGAATTGCTGAAGGTGGGTAGACAGTGGGATTACAGCTCTTAGAATAGTACATTGTCTACAGAGCATCCACAGGGTCACAGGTATGTTTAGGATGAGAATGGCTCAGCAGCTATGGTATGTGCTGACAAGCCCGGTGGCCTGAGTCCTGCCTCTGACACCTGCTTGGTGGAACAAAGGAAGCCACTTTCACTTTCTCTGACCTGCACACATGTGTCTTGGTATGTGCAGCAGCCCTCAATAATATTAATCAATCAATCAATTAATTAATTAATAATGTTTTTTAAACTTTTGTAATAATATTAAGATGTTATTTGCCCTTTTCTCCATGTTGGCATTTGTAGTAAGGAGGCCAAGGCAGTGATGGGTAAAATGCTGGCACCTTGGCACAAATCAAGGCGGGGGCACCACTATTGTGATTAGCCATTTGTACTTCACCACAAGTACTTAGAGAAGACAACAAAAATGCCCTTGATAGAGCAGAAAAAATTAATAATTTTCCTAAATCTGAACCCTTGAGACAAGACTTTTCTCTTGATGAAGTAATGGGCACAGAAAGCACTCGCTGCTGCTGCTGCTCCTAAGTCCGTCAGTCAGTGGCCAGAGGAAAATCTCTCCTGAGATTGCTGGAAATAGTCTTCTTTTCATGCGGGACATTATCTTTACTTGAAAGAATGATTGGCAGACAAACTTGGGTTCTTCTCAAAAAGAAAAAAATGATGTGATCTTGTAACTGAAAAGAAAGCAGGCAATAGTGGTTTCTAGAAATGGCAGTATTTGTAACTACAAGTAAAAACTTACAAGTCTTGTGTTTGTTAATGTGAGCATAATGGTTTCCTAACACTTCATTTGTTTTATGAGATCCATGGTGATATTAATAAATGTGTCTTTTTAAAAGTAGTGTCAACATTTTGAAAGATCTTCCTAACTCAATTTAACCAACATATTGCAAATATCCAATGCATAATGTTACTAAGTCAGGTCATTGTAGGAGATTTGCTCAAAGTAAAAAATGGATTAATGTATCTTAGTGAAAAACAGAAACAAAAACAAAAAAAAACCTAGGAAAGTTCATTGATATGGTTTCAGATCCCACACTGCTCATAACTTTTAAGGAACTACTATTCATTGAACTTTAGTGTCAAAGAAAGATATTCACAATTATGTGACAAGATTATTTATGTATAGTTCCCTCTTTCACTACATATCTGTGTGAGGCTAGGTCTTCAGGCAAGTCTTTCTTTCCTTTTCTTTAGATTTATTTCTAATTTTATTTATTTTTAAAGATTTTATTTTTAATTATTTCATGTATGCTTTTCCAGGTGTGTGTGCATGTGAGTGTAATGCCTATGGAGACCAGGAGAGGGACCTAGATCCCTTGGATCTGGAGTTATTGATGGTTGCAAGCAGTCTATCGTGGGTGCTGGGCACCAAATGTTAGAGCAGTACAAGCTCTTAACTCCTGGACCATCTTTACATAATTATCCACCCCCTTTAAACTACATGTGTGCACATGCTGTGCATGGACATGTGCCTAGGAAGTCCAAAAGAGGACACTGAATCCTCTGGAGCTGGGGTTTTAGGTGGTTGTGAGCCACCCAACATGGATACGAGGAACCAAACTTGGATCCTTGAGCAAGAGTGGCAAGTTCTATTAACCACGGACACAATAATCAAATAAGTTGAAGTTGTATGTGGTGGTACACACCATTAATCCCAGCACTCAGAAGGCAGAAGGCCAGTCTGAGACCAGCCTATATACATAGAGAGTTGCAGGCCAGTCAGAGCTACACAGTGAGACTCTGCCTCAATAAAGTATACAGATAAATAAAAATATTAAATAAATAAGCAAACTGGGGGAAGAGGTCACGCAGTCTTATGTAGGCTACATGAATACTCTACCAGTGATTCAAACCCTTGGCTTCTTCCCATGAACTTCCTTTTCCCCCCTGAAACAGGGTTTCTCTGTGTAGCCCAGGCTGTGCTGGAACTTGCTCTGTAGACTAGCTGGCCTCGAACTTCATTTAGATCTGCCTGCTTCTGCCTGAGAGTGCTACGATTAAAGGTGTGTGGCACCACAGCCTAGCTCCGTGAGCATCTTTAACTGAAACATCATATACCAGACTGAATGCAGAAGCATATAGATGAAGAAAGCTGTGTTGCATTGAGGCTAACATTACAGAAGTTTATGGAGATAAATTACATCAATTA